AGCAATTTACAGAATATGTTTTTAAAAAAGAATGTATTCATGCTTATAACTGTCCTTGCTAGGCAGTTTCACTACATTATCTTCTATTACTTGGGCTCTACTGACCTGAGCAACCAGCTGACTCCAGTGCATGCTCTGAGTTTCCACTCCCAACACCTGCAGGGAGATGCACCTGGAGGCTGTGCATGCTTTGGTGTCTGCACACACACAGTGAGCCTTGTAAACCAGCTAATTGCCAACTTCAGCCCAAAGGCTCAGCAGGTCCTTAGAGAGAAATAGAGTGGCACCACCCAGAGCAGATGTCAGCACAGACTGCCCAACACACACAGGCACCAAACACTGACCCTGAGGACAAACATCAACACCAACCCTGAGTTTCCATGTCACTGAGAACTGTTGAATAGCTGCTGTGCTTCCTTTCACTGCTTCAGAAAAGACTGCCTGGAAATGGTTTTTGTACACATCTCATCCTCAGGGCAGTGAGTTTTCCCCTCTGAAGGGTCAGTCATTGATCCATCAGCAGGTTTGGTCTGTTCTTCTCACCTGACAGTCATGGGAAGGAGCTGCCAGCAGCAGGTGCTGCATGCAGAGCCTTCTGTCAGAGCATTTCCTTGCACAGTCTCAGTCTGTAAAACACTGATGTCTTTTACACACACAATTAACAACACTTCTAAACAAGTATTTCCAGCATACTAGAGGAAAAGCAAATGGCTGCAGCTCTGCTCAAGCAAGAGATGCAACATGTGCAAAGGAAATCTCATAGAAGTATGCTGAAAAATGTTGGTTCTTTCCTTGTTAACACCATAATCCCTAGCACAGAGAAAGTCTACTCCTCTTTTTAAGAAGTTCACTGGTTACTGGGATCTTACCCATCCATGGGCCTTTTTGGATGTTGTTTTCAACATTAGTACCAAAGTTAACTGCATAGTAGTGGGAAGGAGACACAGCATCATAACTAGGAAGGAGCAGAATTTGTCAAGAAAAGTTTCCCGTGTCTCTTTTCCCTCTGTCACTTATTTGCTGCTCTCTCATTTGTACAGAACTTGTGCTGACATTCCAAGGTAGTTCTTTGTCTGGTGAACACTGAACTGTGCTAATTGAAGTGACTTTAGTAGTTCTTTGTCCGGTGAACACTGACTGAACTGTGCTAATTGAAGTGACTTTTGTTGTTGTTGTTTGTCTCTCCACTGCAATTACAATCTCTAACTGAAATCTACAGCCAAGCCTGCAGTGTGCTGCTCTCACAGCCCATGTGCCACCAGAGTTCTGCTGCCCTCCCAGAAGATGAAGAATGATGGCTCTGCCTCTGGGTTCCTTCACAAACACTGAGAAGTAGCTTGGAAACCTCCTGCAGGCAAACAGTGACTCCCAAATCACTGTGTGACAGATGAGCCACAGCCCAAGCAGCGAGTGAACATTGCAGATTTGGGAATGGGACAGCAAATACACCTAGCAAAAATAGATGTTGCTTCAGGTAATGTGTAAATGAACTGTGAGCTAACCTGTGTAAGCATGTGAAATGTTTCAAAATGCAGCTTCACCCATATGACATGCACGGTTAGAGATCAGAAATGAAAGCTTTTATCACCAAATCTGGGTCAGTGCTGAGTCCCACGTTCCTTAAATTCTTCCAAAACGAATAAATAAACTTCCTTGTCAAAGGAGCCTCAATCCACAGCAGAATACTGAGGCACTGCCAGGTAGAAGATGGTTCCTCCTACACAGTGTGCTGAGAGCAGCAGCAATAGCAGAGATGGTTAGACAGACTAACCTGTGGGGTCATTCCATGGCAGAGGTACATGATTGGGATATTATCTGTGTCTGGCCCTTGATCAAGGCACAAATCACTCTTCATGGAATTCTGCAGCTACAATAACCAGAAGAAAAAGAAATCAAGCAAGTTTCACGTGGGAAAAACATGGTTTGATTAGTTTCTTTTCTTTGGAAACACCACATATGTGGAAATGTGCAGAATTAAAAATACATTGCAGCGAAGATTTTGAAGAGAACACACCTGGACTAAGCTGTTCCTTGCAGGTAACCTAACACTCCTGACTGCAGTAATGCTGCACAAGGTTTCAGGCAGGGTAGATTCAAAGAGCCTTCAGACAGAGAAAAAACCTTTCTCTATGCCTTTTTAAAAAATGAAGTCAGAGGAGTCTCAGGTACACACTCTACACAGAGCCTGAATGTTTGGCAGTGCAGCTAACTGAGCAGCTCTTCAGACTCACTCAGAAGAGTCTTCCAGTCGCTGGGAATAATTCAAACCCTCCTTTCTGCTGAGCCCTGGAGCCTCGTGGCCGATTGGGGAGCACCAGCTCCTCTGTGTTACTCCCACTGAGCCAGGCCCAGCAGTGAACCCACTGCAAGGTGAAGCAGGTCCTTACCACCCCATAGGCAACGATGTCCGAGTACATCCTCATCTCTGGGTACACGTTGACGAGATACCAGCGGAAGGTTTTGCACTGCAGCTTCTTCCTCAAGGCCTTTCGCTCCGCAATGTCCCCGATGTCGATGCCAGAGTCCTGCCCAGAGACAGGAGGGGCAGAGGAGTCAGCAGTGACACTTGTGTCAAATCAACACCTCCCTCGCTGCGGTGGGTCCTGACCCACCACAGCTCCAGCTGTGAGGGGAGTCTGTCCCCACAGGCTGAGTGTCTGCACTGGGCCAGGGGCTCTCTCACAGCCTGCTCTGGTGAGGGGAGACACTCCTGACTCTGGCTGTGAGGGGAGTCTGTCCCCTTACTCACTGGGCCAGGGTCTCTCTCACAGCCTGCTCTGGTGCCCAGAGCAGATCACAAAGTCTGAGTTTCATGCAGTTCTTGCATATAAAAATCAATAATTTATCCCATTAAGAACATGTAGCAGGAATTTTTGGAGGGGGCTCTAAGTGCAAATCCATGGCTGCTCCTTGACAGGAAGTAAAATGAGACATTTTGTTCCATTCTGTGCTCTACCACTTCTGCCTCAGAGCAAAACACAGGGTACATAAATTTTCATGGGGAAATCCTACAATCTGTCTACTTAAACAACAGCCTCTTTGGGCCATAAACACCCCAAAGATGTTGTCAGCCACCAGACAGGGTTTTAAAATAGGATTGCAAGCACTGAATTTCCTTAGTCACACATCGAAAAGGTGTCTGTGTAAGTATTGAGTCTTCTGAGCTGCATCCCAAAGCACTGAATTAATGCCAGGCTGCAACAAGTGTATTTTATTGTGGAGCATTTTCTGACTAAAGTACAGTTAAAACTGTGAAACACGTGTGTGTAAGTATTGAGGCTTCTGAGCTGCATCCCAAAGCACTGAATTAATGCCAGGCTGCAACAAGTGTATTTTATTGTGGAGCATTTTCTGACTAAAGTACAGTTAAAACTGTGTTAGTATTACTTGATAAGTTTCCATTTAACAACTAATAGTAACAGCAACTTCTCTTTGATTCTTTCAGAATTTGATTTCGAATCTCAAGTTTGCACAAGATTAAGCACCACCAGCATCACATCTGGATGAATGTTAAGCAAATGTGTATAATCCTGTATATCCTGATTAGCATAAGGAATTTCTGGGTTTTGTATTAATGCTGTATTTGCAAGTCAAAACATTAAAACTTGGATCAATCAGTGAAGATAACCACTCTTCAAGAAGAAAGCTCACAATAAAAAAACAACTGAAATTGAAATCTATCATGTTAATCACAAATAAAATTCATTTGGAATTGTTTTGACATAAAAGAAGTCACAGTGTCCAGGCCAGAGATGCCTGTCTTGTGGCATGGGCTGCAGTGCAGCTGCTCAGAACGTGCAGCCTGGAGTCTGTCAGCGTGGACCAACTCACACAGAGCTCCTTGGACTAGACCAGATGACACTGGGTGTTTTTCCTGTGCTTTCATGGTACATTATGTGGCTAATGCTGCACCCTGAAAATAGGACAATGACTTCCCCACTTTGCCAATGTTATCCAGTTTTAATCATGAGAGATGAAAGAAGCTATTGAAAACAGCGGAACCAAAATCAGCATTTATTGTATCTACCTGGACTTTTGTTTCTAACCTTCTTCTTTGTATTCATCTCAAGGAGAAGTATAGAATTTAATTTCTCGAAACACATTGAACCAAAACCAGTTTCTCTGAGCAGCTGCAAAATCAATCATATAGACTTTACAGAAATTGTATTAAAGAAAAACTAAACTGCCCTTTAATTTATTATGTCTAGACTATTTGCTTTGGCTGTAAGGATGAGAACTGCACTCTAAGTTAGACTCCAAATTTAACTGGAGCCAAGGTTTCCAGCCTCTAGGTGGAAACAACCTGTTGTACATGGATCCCAAAAGTTTTCCAGAATAGGCACAGTCACCTTTCTCCAAGCCCTACAGCTCTTAGGTGTTCCTAGACTAAATACCATTGACTACAGAAACCAAGAACAGCTAGAACTGGATGTCAAACTGAGGTTAGCTGTCTGATGTTACCTTTCCCATGCAATGGACCAACCAGTGCACATCTATGGAAAAGAAACCAGAACAGGCAGCCCAAAGGGGAGCTCAGCTAGATCCTGCAGTATGTTGTGACACCCACCCTGACCCTGCTGTGAAATCACTCACTCATACACCCCACGCTCACATCAATGATGTGGACACCCCTTGCCCCTTGGCAGAACTCTCCTCACAAATCTGGTGGCATTATAGCTCTCTGTGATGGCAAACAGGAGACAAATTCAAAAGAAGATGTGTAATGTAGATCTGATGGTTCTTTTTCTCTACATTTCTGCAGCTACTAGATCGAAATGCCCATCAAAAGCCATCAGTAAGGGTGGTGAACTTAACAAGAAATTAATTTTTAAGGAACCTAAACCCAAAGAAATTATTCTAGAATAAGACACACCTACATATACCTGTTTATATGCAGGTGTGTATGTATAGGCATATCTCATGTCTGTAGGTGAGACAAATACATACAGGTGTGCAAAGAAAATGTTAGCAGAAAATCAAAGCTCAGGGTAGGAACCAAACCCAAAAAGCTACAGCTTGCCAACCCTGGTCTTTGTGGCTCACCTCCTGGGGTATGTTCCATGCCATATAGACGTGGCTCTTAAACTCATCCATCCAGACCTCAGCCACCCTCAGTGCGTTTCTCCGGACGTGAGCAGTTAGATCCTCTGTGTATGGCTTGTGTGCCCTTTCAATGTGGGCAACCCTGGAGCAAGGCAGCACTTCAACACTGCCTCCACACTGCCAGACCTGGGAGGAAAAAAAGGACATTCTGCTTGTGAGAGCTCCCCACAGCACTGCTGGCCTCTAGTAAATACACTGAAATGGGTTTGTTTCTTTGCTTGTCACTGCTACAGAGGAGAAGAGCTACTCGAGACTTGTTTGACTGCACAGAGGGTTTTTCAGACAGTTGTGAGAGGAGAGAGTTATTACCTTGCCCTACCATGAGTTATTACTACTACTGAACCCTACCACAGAATTTCTGCATTCCCAGTAGTCCCTCATTGCAATCTTCCCAGATCAATGTAGCTACTCTCAAGATAATTAATGAAACTATTTACAGGGCATTCCAAACAACAGTGCCTGGTTCAAGCCTGAATGCCCTGCAGGCACCTCCCTAAGGCTGTGCACACACCCCCAGGATCCTGAGCCAGGCAGCCTGTCCCAGCAGGGCACTGAGCCAGCCAACTTCTCAAGAACACTGAAGTTTCAGATTTGAGTAAGATGAGGAATATAAATTCACCTTATGCTTTGCTTTAAGCATAGCTCAGAAAGGAGCAGGTCTGTTTCTTTCAAGGCCTGACGAAGATGGAGACAGCCTAATGAAAATGCTGTATGAACAATTTCAGACACTGCTTCCATAAAACACGTGGAATGCAGGTTTCTGTATGTGCTCAGGAGTTTCAGTGTTGCCACTACCACAGCTGAGCTAATGCCCATGACATTAATTGCAAGTATTGTGTTCATTTCTCATTTTCCCTTTCTGGTTTCAACAAAAGACAAACACTTGGCAGACTTAAGAGTTGGTGAAGTAGCTGAATTGCTTTAGACAGAAGCTCTTTGGTGTACCCTGTGCTCTGTAAGCTTCCTAACAAGATCAGGGCAGCCCATTCTCAATGGCTGAGTGACACCCCAGGTATCCTCAGACTGTTTGATCCTGCTGGAGCAGGTGTAGTCACTGAGAAGTGACAGAGTTTGCCTTGTGACACTGCCAGCAGATTCCTGAGGGTTTGTAGCTCATACTGAGAGAGCACAGAGTGGGAGTGAGGGTGCTCCCTCCTGTGCAGCTCATCCAGGAGAGGAAACTCTGCTCTCCCTCCTAGTGGCCAGGGATGTGGGTTGGCAGAACATCCTGTTCTGGAGCTGATGTCAGGCCCCTCCAGTCTGTCCATCCTATAGGCATATGCTCTACTAAGGAGGCACTTTGTTCAGTCATTCATTTTATATATTTAGACATCTGGCTCGAACGCAGCGTTTAGGCATTTGGCAGCTCCTGAGACCAGAAAATGTGGCACGAATTCAGAATGTTTACAAAGCTTTTCCTGAACTGGTGCCTAATTGCATTCAGCATATGCTGGGAGAAGAGCTAGAGCCTTGGTTTTCAGAGCTCTGTGGGAAATGAGCTCTCCCATGAACCTGCTGCACAGTTGGGGAGGGAGCTGAAAACACTCAGCATGTCTCTGTGTCCAGAGCTTGGAAAACCATAAGAGCCCATAAACACAACCATCACCAACATCAGGGCAAATCTGGGATGATCATATATATTTTAAAATAAATGTGCAATCAATCTGACACAAGAATAAATATCAGGAAACAACACTTGTGTCCTGTCTTTCTCAGGGTCGTATCAAGTGGCCAATCCAGTTTAATGATCTAACAAAATCAACTGTTTGTCAAACATTTCATTATAAATGGTCCAGCTACATCTCATAACAAAGGCTGAACAAGCAGTGCCATCAGGCTGAGCTCACACAGGCCATGCCACTTCTCAGCACTAGGAAAATACAAGCAAAGCCTTTTAGTGTGACCTGTTCTTCATCTAACAGAATTCCTGTAGACAAGAGATTGTCTTTGCAGCTAAGAAACAGGAACAGCAATTGAAGGGTTTGTTGCTCACAACTTCACACCTCTCCCCAGTGAATTTTGCAGCTATGTTTTTGCTGTCATTAGCAATCTTTAGGCAGGTTCCATCCATACTGAACAGCACCTTTCTAGTCCTCCAGCACTGCTATTTTATGTGATGGCTATAAATAAATACAAACATTTAAAATTTTCCAAATTATCCCCCATTCCTCTAGCAGCAAGTTTAAAGATAAAAGAGCTTCAAAGGCTTTTTTTAACCACATGGAATGGTTTGAAGGAAAGTGTTGTATCTCTGAGCAAACTGTGGCTGCAATCAGGAATACCTGAGGACTAACCTGCTTGTACAACTGCAAGGAAAAACCTGATGAATTTCCCACACTATGGGTAAATTCAGCTGTTTCCTGATGCTGGTGAAGATGTTTCACCTATGGTGGGCAAGAGGTGGAAATTGCTAGCCATAGCCTCAATTTCCTGCCAAGTCTCTAAGTGCACACATGCACTTGTGAAAAATAGCATGTGCTTTCACCACTGTGACACAACAAATAGCAACTCACATTTCATGCTGTAAAAGCATCAACTGCAAAACTGTACTAATGGGTCTCAGACTTTGCCTTAAGGTAAAGACCTTATAAAGTTCTGATGTGTGCAGGACTGTCTGTCTTTGTGAGTACTTCATATGATTGCTGGAGCCACAGCAAGGCAGAAAGTCTGCTTTGCTTTGGAGGAATTTCTTGAGGTTCCTTTTGAGGCTCCTTCCAAAGGGCTCTTTATTCCTGAATTTCCTGAGGAGGTTCATAGAGTTGGTATAGCCCCAAGAAGGGCTTAGAGGGATTCCTCTTCTTGAAAGGGTTCCTTGTTCCTTCATCACTAGCAAAAAGCAGCAAAATTCCATAAAAAAATTCAAGGTCTAGAGGGACAGTTGCAGTGCCAAGGCTAACACAAAGCTGAAAGACTAAAACCAGCAAAGCCTATGACCTAAACTAAGTAAAGCAAGTGAGAGATGATAGGAACACTCAATGAATACAGGGAATCTACCGGAGAGGAGGGAGGAACTAAAACCCAGGAGGGGAATCTCCCTCTTAAATCTTCAGTTGTTATGGTTCTGTGGAGAATTTGTCCAAGCTCTAAGCACTTCGCGCTGTTCATTTACTGAAGTTTCACTGGCACAGAGCTGGAACTGTGGCCCCAGATCTGTGTGAACTGATGTTCACCAAGGTTAGAGCAACCACAGAGCAAACAGAACATGCTGCTGCTGTTGGGAGAGGCAGGAAAGCAGCAGTGTGTGAACACACCGAGAGGACACAGACGGTGGAATCGCTGTGACCCCTGTGCCCACACTGGGCACACAGAGGGACAGACAGGGGCAGGACACCCCCAGTGATGTGCAGAGGTGTGAGCCTGACCCCCCAGGCCCCCAGCCCAGCGAGGCACAGCTGACAGCCCCTGACAGCCCCAGAGCACAGACAGACCTTGCACAGCCGAACCGACCTGGCTACAGCCTCCTGCAGCAGAGCCCGTGCACATCTGGCACTCCTGTTCCACTAGGCAAAGGTATCCACTTCTGTCAGCTTCATTTGCAAATCCACATCCTTTACTAAATCCTTTCCAGCTTCATTTAAACCTATTTGAATTTGCATAGTTAATCGAGACAGTCGCAGCTCTGACGCTGATCCCTCTGAATGTTTAAACGTCATTATAAAATGATAGAACACTTCTCCATTACAAGTGTTTCTCTTTAGCTCTTTTATCACTGAGTGTTCTCTGCATGTCACAGAACCTTAATCTAATAAAACCCACACCCTACATGATGCTGAGCAGTTTATTCGTGTGCTGTGTTCATTCATTTCACACAGATCCTGCAGTTTCTCCCAGAGCTGATGTGACCTTGTCTGAAACTATCATTTCATTTCCACTGCAAACAAAACCTCCTAATGATTAAGTGATTTCTCAAAAAGCTGCAGCAATTTCTACCTTCTGTGAAGTTTGCAAACAACAGAATTACAAGAACTCATTAAAGATGCCCTCAAGGTAAAAAAATAGTCAGCGTGAATTAATTACTTCTGTGGGTACAAACTAATAGTCACCAGTATTTAAAAAAGTATATTTTGGGCAAGAGTTTAATATAAAAACTATTTGTGAATCTCATTAACCTTTGTCATTACCATTAATGGGCTGCTGATAACTAGTAATGAGCTTGATGCTTTGCAGGCAAGTATGAACAAACTAGGTTTATTCCATACCATGATCATTTTAAGTCTGCATTTTTATTTTTGTGCCCTGGCAGGTGACTGCAGTGAGGACAGAGAGAGTGGTCAGGGACCACTGAAACCAGTGCTCACATTTCCACTCACAGTCAGTGTGTTTCTGACTGTGTCCTGGAAGCTTTTGGGCTGTCGTGTACACCTGGTGTCTCTGTCTGTAGACCTTAATCTTTGTCTAAGGTCAGAGCTCCACTGAAATCAGATAATCTTCACTACATAACTGGAGTATTGACAATAAGCACCGGTGGATTTGGTCACTTTCCAGTTCAGCAAGAAGCCAAGCACTGCTTTGCTTATCCCACTGGTCTCAAGTATCTTCCTCTCACTGAAGTCTGTCCAAAGAGCAGAGCTAAGCACAGAGGCCTGGCCTGAGCCACAGAAACCAGGATTACCATTACAGTGTAAGTGGAGAGGAGGAGAAAGCAAACACAGTGCTAATGGGCTGGAAAAGAGGATCCTGTCACTGGTGTGTGGCCCTGCAGAGAGGGAACCAGGGACACATTGCAGGAGGTGACTGCCTGCAGAGACACTGTATCCTCAAAGAAACAGAGACTGGAGAGAGACACCCTTAAAATTACCTCCTCTGTCTTACTGAACCCCTGGGAGGGTTCTGAAGACTGGTCTACTTATCATCAAGCCTGTCAGACTTCCAGGTGAAGTCTGTGAGAATTGTTTTTCCCCTAACCAGACTGGGATCTGAATGTGAAGCTGTAAGCAACCAAAAAACCACCCACAATCAAGAGATTTCTGAAAAGGAAAATAAAAGGCTAACAACTAGAGCTGCTCTTCATTTTTAAAATGTAAATTACCCATTAGATCTAACTTCTGAAGTCATCATTAATTGCCTCATAGTCCTCATTTTACATTAATTGTGCCTTTTTAAAACACTCATTGAAAAAGTAATACCTGTAAAGATTCTTCCCATATTAAATTGTCATTACTTCCCTTCCTCTTTTAGCTAATTGCTTCATGATGTACTTTTAAAATTGTTTTGTGCTGCAGGGACTAATTCTGCATGTATCTGAATGTATGAGCAGTGCAACTTGTGCAGTGTATTGTTGAACTCTGTGTGGTGTTTTCCTGGTTCACAGTTGCAGAACTGTTCTCTGTGTCCCGTGCAGGTAACATCCTTGCAGGGCACTGAGGCTCTCCCAGCTCTCTTTCAAACGTGGCTCTCTCTCTGCCAGGCACAGCAGTGGCCAAGTTTAGTCCTGGATAGGAAGCAAAAGAAATCACTTCATCTTAAAAGGCACAAAACAGGAAAATGAGTGATGGGATCACCACTGGTTTAGTACTCATGGAACCACTTGCTGAGCTGCCCCTTTTTTGTTTTTACCTTTCTCTCCCTTACCACAGCTCTACTTAGCTTGATCAGTCTTGTTAATCTTGCACTGTTAATAAAGGCCAATAGTGCACTAATTAATTTGCATCTCACCTGAGTCCACAGATTTGTAAGTGTGTATTGACTTGAACTGGTTTAGTTCTTTTCGTACCACTATAAACAATTATTTCCCCTCATAAAACATCAAGATACCTATCTTACTTCCCATCTGGTAATGTGGAACCACACAGGCACAGGCAGTGAAAAAACAGTTGTGAAAAATCTCCAAGTGCCTCATTGCCTTTCCTTGTGGGGTGTAGTGATGCCACACATTAGTTGGTGCTCTAACAGTAATTTCCTTTCCTGTGGGAGCAGCTAATAAAATGTTCTCTCCCCAGAAACAGCAAAACCACAGAACTGATTCCCTGCTAACACTGTCTGTGTGTATAATTACACATGCTGCAGCTCCAGGTTACCTGCTGAGGCATTCATGGGCAAAAAGGGGGGAAACAATTATTCTGCTGTAGGAATGACTCCAAACGAGGAGGAGGAATTTCTCACAGAAAGGGTGATTAAATATTGGAAGGGGCTGCCCAGGGAAGCTGTGGAGTCACTGTCCCTGGAGTGTTTAAGGAGGTGACACTTAGTGCCATGTCTCGGTGACCTGGTGGTGTTCATCAATCTCTGGACTCCGTCTTGGAGGTCTTTTCAACCTAATTGATTCTGTGGTTCTGTGAAGACCAGAACAAGCCACAAAAGGCCAGTTTCTGCTGATGACTGGCACCTTTGGAGGCATGACAAGTCATTATTTTATTCTCAACAGAACCTTTTTTACTTTTACCTGTTTGAATTACAACCCTGTAAGTAGATAATTTTAGTCTGTGTCATCTTGGGATTCAGATTGTTAACACAGTGAGGTACTTTGCAAAACAAGATTAGCCTTAGGAATAATTCTGTCTGTGCTGAGAAGCCACAGCTGGTTACACAGGGTGCTAGGCAGGTGCTTGTGCCACACTAGCACTCTCAGGGAATTCTTTTTGTCGTTGTGAACGTGTGGGCTGGGAAGTGCATTAGCTACATCTTGTAAGAAGTAGCATTTGGTCAATCTTCACAAATTTTTCTTGCAGAATTCGGCCTGGAAATAGTCTCTTCTTAATTCACAAAATGGATAAAAGTAAAATGGGCTTCTATTTAAAGCTTTCGTGCAAAGATAAAGAGAAATCGTTATCTTAAAAAGCAGTGTTTAAATGTTCTCTCAAAGTAACAACTAAGAATAATCCTATTATTATCATACCATACCTTAGCATGGTAGGACCATGTGCTGCTTAGCATGTTTAAGATAAACAGGTAGCTCAAATGAACTTAATGCCTGATGCTATTTGTGCAGTCAAAAGGAAACTCTTCTGCTCCTGTAGATGTTTGCTCTCACAGGCTTATGCATAAAATTTCCCTAGCAGGTCCCTTTGGGTACACAGTGTGTGCTGCTCAGTATTCTGCAGGACAATATTTAACACCCAGCAGAAGCCTGGATGGATCTAGACACTTCCCAAAGAAGGGAGAATGGCAACCAAGTGTGAAGCACAGTGAGCAACACGTACCCATGGGCTGGGGGGCCCCGTTTGGAAACGGGCACCAACGCTCTGATGGTAATGTAGTTTTTGCAGAACAATTACTGTTTTCATTAAGTGATTCGTCACAGCCCTCGCAGCTCTCTAGAGATGGTTGGTGCTGCAGACACAGAACAGGGACAGACCATCTGCCTGAAATCACCTGCTGACTACAGTTCAGCTCCTCCTGGAGGGAGTGGCAGGGAGGCCCTGGGAGCTGCACCTGAATGCTGGGGCTGACACCACAACATGGCAAAGGTTTGAGACACCCCCCAAGTCCCCAGACCCAGTGTGTGGCCCCAGGTGGCTGAGGGAGGAGCTTTCTTTGCAAGCTCAACATCTGTAGAAACACTGCTGTGCTTCCCTGAAGCTTGAACACTGCACCACACATTGATATCCCTCCTCGTATTGTCTGGGATACGCTGAGAATTGTGAGAGGGGTTGGTAAGAAACTGCTGCAAACTCTGTTCATTACAGCTCAGTAATTTGTTTTCATATAGCCAAGAACACAGACCCAAGCCAGGCTAAAGTCAGATAAGGCAGAACACATTGTGCTACTTGCACACTACAATCTGCTAGAGATGGAGCAGTTTATGTAGGTCAGGCACTGCTTCCCTGGAGACAGGAGGAACCACAGGGAAATCCGAGCGGTGTCAGGCCTGGTGCCAGTGATCCAGCCTGCTCCACAGCTTCAATTAGGCAGAGATTTGTGTCTCTGGTCTTGTCTATAGACATGCTCTTCCCAATCAGCTCCTGCAGGGCTAGGTATAGCAGACTGGGCAGCAAACAGCTCCTGATGCAAACCCAGAGAAAACTCCTTGCGCTCACAAGGAGACAATAGCTTTGTCAGTTGAAAAAAAGAGCAGAAAAATCAAAGTGACACTAGTTTTCAACTTGGTGCAACACTGAGCTGCAAGATAAGGTTCTGGGCACAGAAGGCAGCTCTCTGGCCCTCACATCAAGGAGGATGGGGTTACTAACAGAACAGCCTTGCATTTCTCTCTCCTTAGCAATGTGCTCTAATGGAACTGAAAGGAGCCCTGAGCCTCACTCTTGCTGAAACAAGACATCATCTCTTACAGGCAGAAACCAGAAGTAAAGATGACTATTTTTTGCTGTATCTTGCAGGCTCAGAGAATTCTATACTCTTGCTTTTATTCTGGCAACTAGAAAAGCACAAAATACAATGTTAGCTTCCACTGGGGTTCAGATTTTGATTCTATAACACACACCACACTTTTTTTCATTGCCACCTATCCATCCAAGTGTTCCCCTTGTATCAAAACCCTGAGAGGCTCTCAAACAGAACAGCACTGTATTTCCAGAATGGTATTTAGCTGTGAAGGGATGTAGAAAGGACACAAATCACACACAATACTGCCTGTCATAAAGAGAGGAGAGTGTGTGATGGAAGAAGAAAACCTGTGCACTTTTGCCCTTTCTGAATACCTTAACTCACGTCCCCCTGGAAGGAGTGTAAAGGCCTCTATGTTCCACTTTGCTCCATAATTTCTCTAGTTTAAATAAACCAAGTCATCTAGAAAGGATTTTCCCATCACACCTATGAAAAACTCTCCTCCTTACCAAGTCTGGGATCACAGGTGAGCAGGGTGGTTTAGGCATCATCTCTGCAAAATTCTAGAACTGTTACCTGAACGCAAGAATAATCCTAAAATCCGTATTTCTACCCTTGCCCCAGATTAAGTTCTTTCAAAATATATAGGAGCTTTTTCTCTTTTTTCCTGCCCCTCCCTCCTCAGTGACTACAGTTCATACTGTTGCTGAGCTGTGGATCTCCTTTGTATGCCACCACCCACATGTTTTTGAGGGGTTTGCAATAAGCAGCAAGCTGTATTTTCAATGTTAACCACCAGTGCTGGCTGATTATGTTCCTTACCCTGATTCCGAGCTCCACGTTCTCTCCTCCATATACTTCCATGCCTTCATCCAGCAATCCAATCTCTTGGAAATATTCTCTGTCTACTATGAAGCATCCAATCAATGCAGGACTTCTGGAAGAATAAACCAGCATCGGCCAAAATTAGCAGATTGAGTATGAACAACTTTATCATTCACACATAGATTACATTTCCAATCACTGGATAAAATGGTGTCTCAAAACAGATCCTTAGGGAGGTGTTTCTCAAACAGATTTATTCAGCTTTGTTTTAAGTATCTAATCTAACCCTGCCCTCTTTCAGTGTAAAGCCATTTCCCCTTGTCACAAGTCCCTCTCCAGCTCTCAGCTCTCTTGCAACTCTCCTTAGGTGCTGGAAGTCAATCTCCCTGCAGCCTTGTCTCCTCCAGGCTGAACCAAGCCCAGCTCTCCCAGCCTGTCTTCACTGGAATATTTTCATAGTGTTAACAGCGTTCATGGACACTGATCACCATTTCTAATGATGTGGAAATTATAACTCCCTTTTACATATGTCTGTGTCAAGCCTGTTTATTTTGATCTCCTGCTTTCCAGTCGTAGGTGCTGTTCCTGGGCCCTGGGTCAGTGCAGTTCAGAGTGTTTAAGCTGACAGCTCCTGAGAAAAGTGCCTGCCTGAAAGGGCAGAACTACTGGATGAAAACTCCTGCTTACACTAACTGCATGGAAACTGAGTGGCAGTGCTGGGCCCCTCATCCTGACACTGCTCTCTGAGGTCCTGCTGTGCAGCTGGTGCAAACACTCCACACTTGGTTTCTGCAGGAGCTGCAGTGCTGGCTGCTGCCTGTGGCCTCCTTGCTGTGAGGGCATGTCTACCAGAACGGCCCAGAGCCTCAGCAGAGGTGCTGAGTGGGCTCAGAGGCAACTACTCCCCTCCCTGAGGTAACAGGATTGCTCTGTACCAGCCTAACAACACTCCAGACATGGCAAAGCAGAGTTAGGTTGTCCCAGGGAAAGGATCTAATGCAGTCTGTGCTCACACACTGTCAGTGAACAAACACTAATTCCTAGGACACAGCACAGATGAAAAACTATGTGGTAGCATCATGAAGAGTACAACTGTTAGATCAGTGCTGTGTATATAATGAATTTGTAAAAACAAGTCTCTTTCTGGCCCACTAGCACTAAATTAGCACACAAGACTTTTGGAGGAAGCAGTGCTGCTGAGCATTTCCATCTCCCACACCTGCCTCCTTTGGCAGGAAACCTATTGAAAGAGAAGCTTTCTGGGTGACTGTGAGCTGAAGAGGACAGCTCAAGAGCATCTGCAGTCAGTAAAACCTGTTACAGAGCTGAGACCAGTCCCCATCTGTCTGTCAGACCTCAGTGAGCACTGCAGCACACACTGACACAGGTCACTGCTCACCTCACCTTATTGGAGCAGTTGTGTTCTCCAGTTTCCACCATGACTGGGGAGGGTTCAGGTATCGGCACCACAGCTCCCAGTCAAACCCCTGTGCTGAGAGAGGATACTCCTCGATTTCAAAATTGTCATACTTAATGTTATCAAACGAAGGACAAATTACTCTTTTTCTGTTTTCTTTTATCCTAGCGAGCACTGGTTCAGCCCTAAAAAACAAAAATTAAAAAATCAAGTGTTAGGAATACGTCAGTAAAAGCATAGCACTGATGGAAATCCTAGAATAGTTTGGGTTGGAAAGGACCTTTAGAGATCATCTAGTCCACTCACCAAATCAAGAGCAACTTATTCTATGTATTTCAGAAGAGGCAAAGTCTAAAGCTGTTACCCATTCAGAGCTTCCTTTGCCTTGAGATGTAGTTTTGACCATGCAGGATCTGCCCCAAAATAACCCAGTGCAGTTATTTTCTCTAGCCTGCCCCATTGCTGGCCTTGGTGTTAGGCAGTGGATGGAAGAAATGAGTATCTGCATATCACAGGGCACTTATACCCCTGCTACCAAATACCAATGACTTCAGGCTCTCATAATATCATCAAGGGCATCAAGATCAGAGTTAGGAATAGATCTATCCTAGGGACAGAAGATTCTGCCTATTTACCATCATTTTTACTCAAGAAGCACCAGAGATACTAAATCCAGACCGAACAAGTTGTAACACATTATTTTAGTTACATCTGCTTTTGCACAGATCAGTGCCAAAACACTTCTTTGTTTACACTGCAGAAGATAAAAGAAACACAACACTTTCAAAGAAAAGAAGGTAACTTTGCCCTCATGGGCAAAGGGTGACATTTTCGGAGGGGGTTTTCAACGTGCAGTTTTCCCCTGTCGTTTAAATACGCTGTAATTAGATCATCAAATCACTCAGACCATAAAAGTGGATCTAGATCAAGTTACACAGCACAAACTCGTTTTTCACACTTGTGTCCATAACTGTGTCTGAATCTCCACGGAGAAGATCAGCATGCTAACTCACCCTCTGTGTGCAAGGGACATGCCATTCAAGCAATTATAAGCAGAGTGGAAAAGGAGCCTTGCCCAGAGAAACTCCAGGAGACACATACCATCCCACATTGAACTCCACGTGGGCATCGAAGAGAGCGACCACGGGCGCCGTGGCTGCTCTCCAGCCGCTCACGCGGGAGCGGATCAGCCCCTCCTGCCTGCTGTGCCGAACCACCTTGATGAAACCAGGTCTGTGTGCATTCACCTCCTCAACATACTGCTGCAGCTTCTCCTTCAGCTCCTCTGTGCAAAGGAAAGGGTTAGATGTTAACAACAAGGATCAGCTCCACAGGATGTACAAGTCAGTTCTTTCAGCAAAACAGGAGTAGTCTCCACACAGCCACTAAGAACTCTGGAAGAGACTGTCAAAAGAAGGCAAATGAAAAGCAGAAGGACCATAAATTATACAGCAACACAGAAAATTTCAGAGGTAGTGTTCAGCCTGCATGACTGACATCAGAATCCTGGCACTGTTTAAGATAAGCAAACCACAAAATAAACTGCTATGTATGTTATGGTACTGTAACAACAAACAAGATAACTATCTTATACGTCCAGAAAGAATGTGCTCAGGTATTGCCAAGGAACCTTCTTACCTTATCTACAATGCTAAACTGGTACCATCCAACCTGCATTAAGAGCTCAGCTCTGCCTAGTCCTTTCTGTGAAATCTGGAGCCACTTAACTTCTCCATAATCAATTCCCCCTCTGCAAGGTTAAGAGCTCAGCTCTGCCTCTGTGAAATCTGGAGCCACTTAACCTCTCCATAATCAATTCCCCCTCTGCAAGATGGGAGCACCACACTTCCTTCTTCTTTTCCGGTCCATTTAGGATTTAAACACTAGAGATTGTTCTTTCCTCTGCATTTGGCCTAAACCCCTGGGGCAGGGGGCAGAGGGGAGGCTGTTGTTTTTTTAAACCTAACCCATGAGACTCTCTCTTCTATTTACAGCACATTAGCAGTGCAATCTGCTCCTGGCTACACACCAGGGCACATCTCTGCACTGAGCACAGGTGGCTTCTCAAATGGTCAGCCAACCACTCTGGGAACTGGTCACCTCAAACACATCTGGACAACGTGCACACCCAAATGGTTAATGCAACTGAAAATTAACAGCAAGCTTTATAATCACATTACAGCCCTGGAAAGGAGGTGATGTGTCCTCTCTTAAGCTGACAAAGGTGAGCAGAGCTGTTTCACAAAGGGTCATCTCACCTAACGACTGTTAGAACCCACATCAACTCAGGGACCTATTTCTCTGAGGATATGGAGGAAAGGACAGGGTGGTCAAGTACAGAGTCCTTATATTCCTCCCTCTCTGCAAGGACTCCCAGAGAGGCACCAGGAGTGATGCCTGTGCAGCTGCTTCCACTGGCACTGGAGGACACAAGTGCCACATACCTCTGAGCAAACAAACTCCACAGGGAAGGGAAAGAACACCAAAGAAAAGTGCTGACACTGACAGTTTTTCATACAAACAAGAATTAAAAAGAAACAGTCTGCTGAGCATGTCCAGCACAGTACTGAACTGCAGCAATATTTTAGGAATTGATTGGGTATACTCCTAGAATTTTCCACATTATATTGCCAATATCTATTCAATTTGTTTGTCTATGACTGTATTGCCTGGAACAAACAATGTGAGCCACTCACAGCATAGAGCACTATTCTACTTGGTATTAGATTTGCTGCTCAGTGATCAATACATTTTTTCTCCCTTATGAAGTCGGAAAAACATTTGTTTCTATCACGCTTGAGCCAAGCCACATGTTCTTATTGTTCATCACACACAGAGATCTGGAGCAAGCACAAAACTACCAAACCAACCACTAGCAAACAGCACTTTAAATTCAAAAGAAGATAGTTATGTTACTGAAATTGCACCCACCTAAAAACAGTGCAAAGCAGTTCTCTATTCCCCACACGTGCTGTTGTGGGGGGTGAATATCAAAACATGCAGATCAAAGCTTTCCTCAGTGAAAGTGGCTGCTCACAGCTTTGCCATACCAGGAAGCTTTGTTTGCCACAACAAGGCAGCATCAGCGCTGAGTCTCAGCTCTGGGAAGGGAAAGCAGGCTCTGATCAGGGACTCAGCAATCAGAGCCCTTGACAGAGTCACTGTTCCCTCAATCACTCCATTTTTAGCAAGTGTGCTATTCTGACTCCTCTCAGACACTGCTCCTAATGGGGACTGACTGTACAGGCTTGAGCAAACACAAACCCCTTTTCACAGCAAGGTGTAGGATGGAAACAGGTGGAAATGAAACAGAACCCAAATCTTGGCTTGCTATCAGCTGCACACTACAGTGGCAGCATTTCCTAGGCAGCACACACTTCTGATTTTCAGGCTGCACTGCAGCTTTTTGAAAACGAAGGGAATGGCCTGAGAGTCTCAGAGGGACCTTGGAGCCTCACCAGTCAGCGTGGAGGAGTCTTCCCCTGCACTTCAGCCTCAGCTGGTGGAGAAAGTGCTGCATTTTGTCTAGTCCTCCACGCTGGGCCACAGGCAGTGACTTTGTGCACAGGACACAGAGCAGCCAGGGCCTTATTTAGAACAGATCAGCCTTGCCCTGCACAGGCAGAGTGCTGAGCAGAGCACCATGTGCAGCCTTTGTCTTACAAAGCCCACTGGGCAGACCCTCCCAGCAGACAAGATAAGGCTGCTGAAAAAATTTATCATTTTCACTCAGCCATAGGACAGAGCAGACATGCAAATGAAGCTTAAAGTGTCACTATTTTGGTAAGAACTTTAAAGATGCCCTAGCAAAATACTTGAGTTGGGGTTTTTTTCACATGCATTCCATGTTTTCCTGAGTTTTACATGAGAACTCTGAGGTCAATGGTATTTGACAGTTTTAGAGCACCCTGCCCAGCTGGACTGAGTGATGGGACTCTCCCCCCAGAACTAATCATACACTTTGTGATGGCACTGATGGACTTCAGC